CTACTTCAGGAGGGAGTTTGTCTATGGTTTAGGGAGAATATTGCTGAGTTTATTTTCTTAGTGTTTGTTGTGAGTTCCTAGTGGTGTCTACAGCTTGTGGGAAAGCTGATCTACCTCTCGAATAGTAGATCAATTGTATCTTGCTTTATTATTGAAGGAAAAATAAGAAAATCAGTTATATCTTTGTGTTCTTATACTGTTCTTCTCTTTTATTTATTGTTTTTATTTCTAAGGTGTATCAAATTGGTATCCAAAAACTTTTTTGGGATCTATGAGGCATTGGAAAGTAAGATGGAGCAAATTAATTCTTTTATTTGCTATCGATAGCTTCATTAGCGATTCCTAGGGCTAAACCAAAGATAAAGGAAATTGATAGAGACCACTTGAATATTCCAAGTGATTCATATCGGATCTTCGCCAAAACACAATTATTCCGCTGTTTTCAATAGAAAACAACCACCAAACAATGGAAAAACTGAGAAAATAGGGAGAAAACGTTGGGAAAACAATAGTAACAATTGTATTCCACTAGTAGACAAACAAAACCAAAGCAAGATACAATGTTCTTCAATTCGAGAGGAAGAACAACTCTCCAACAATCTCCGGCAACGCCAAGAGCCCAAGCAAGAAAACCTAGAAGACAAAACTCATTTAAAATCAAGATGAAACCCTAATCCCCTCATAACTCCCTATTAAAACAATCTAATTCAAATTAAAAGCAAAAGGACTACTCTACCCTTCCTTCTCCCTCCTAAAACACTTAACCCATGTTTGAATTGCAAGTGGACCCCACTCCCTGGCTCCCTCTCTCTTCCGCCCGGCCCTGTGTCCGCCTCCTGTAGAACTGGACCGGCTGGGCCGGTCCAGGTTGAGCCGGTCCAAGCTGGACCGGCATAACAGAAATTTTGGAGGAGATAATGAGAAAGCTCATGGAGATGTGATCTAAAATCCTACCAACGGTGCAATTGCTAACCTAATCAAGATTTGATTGGGATTCCCTTGGTCAAATTTGAGGGAAAAGAGATCGGATGGGAAGAGTTCGACGAAGAGTTCTCCTTTCATTAAGAGCCACCTCCTAGGGCTCCTATAAGGGGTAGAATAGTGTTTTCGACTAGGGGGACAGCAAGAATGGAGTTTTGTGATAGAGGTGGTGGGATGACCAACCAATATGGGAGGTTTTTTGGTTTCGGAGACAAGTATATGGAGATAATATATGTCCACAGCTGTATAAAGTGATATTTTCATTGGTTTCAGAGACAAGTATATGGAGAATCAACCTATATTCATCAAAGTTTTCCAAAGAAGATCTCCAAAATAAATCAAACCTTGTAATATAATTAAGTGAGCTACAAATATGTAATAAAGCTTTATTTTATTTTGTTGTTTTAAATAAGATAGACCAAGTCTACCTATTTTTATTAAGGTATTTACTAGGTAGATCAAGCCTATTTTATAAACTTAATCTATCCAAGTAGTATACATAGACCCTACTGTAAAGAAAGAAGAATGAATGAAAATTTATGATTTCTCTCCTCTCCCACTCTTCTAGTTTCTCTTGGAGTATACACCTACTCTAAACGTGCCCTCCTTCTTGGCCCTCCAAGAAGCATATCAATGATGCTCTTGTTGCACTAACGTCATGCCATTGCAAGAGGTTTCTTCTTTCAGCATTTTTTTCTGTCTTTTAACAGTCCAGCAATCAAAGATTCTGCCTCCCACCTGTCAGCCCACCCTCACTCCAGCCATCTGGGTCCCCCTACGGCCCCAAGAAACCCGCTATTTTCCTTCTCAGCATTCTACTCACCTCCGCTTACTGGCTCCATCTCTTCTTAGCCGCATATGCCTACATTAGCAACTTTCTTCCATTCAGCCGCAGCCTCCAATCAGCCAAACTTTTGTTCTTTGGGGAATTCTTCCAACAGCGGTCTCTTACCCTTCTTCTCAGCCAAGATCTTAAAGAACAGCACCTGTCCACTTATTGTAGCTGGTTTCAACCACTAGATTGCAACCACCGTTTTCAAGATAAACTGCAGCCTTTGATTTCATCAACATCCCTGCTGCAAACTGCAGTTCCTTCAGCCTCAAGAACTGCCAGCTTGCCTCCACCAAATCCTTTTCTCCTTCCTGCCATTCACCGCAAGATCTTGCAGCAGCACAAGATTCTCTACCACTTGGCCAGATCCTCAAGATCCTTCCAACATTCCTTTGATTTTACTTCCAAATTATTTTTCAGCAACCACCAAGGATTCCAGAATTTTCGCCAACCTGCATTTCGCTGGCACAAGAACAGTAATTTTTCTAGTGTACATCATATTCTCTGTTTTCGTTTTCGTTTTCGTTGCTCCCTTTCTTCTACACAATCTACTCGGGCTTTTTTTTTCATTTTTGGTACAGGTACCAATTCTTGTATCAAAGAATTGCATTATCCATACCCAACATGAAGAATGCTGATTTGGCTGAAGTTCTATGCTCAAAACAAAGTATCATGACTTGCAATTTGCAGACATCTAAAATCTCTACAAGTTGATATTTTATTCACTTCCATTGGCACATCCATCCAACACTTTCAAACCTTCTTGGACTCCGTTGACAAGCGTATTGACAACTTATGCACTAGCCGACCACCTTCATCTCGCAATCAAGATCCCGATCCCTCTGCCGGCATTCTTGGATCCGTCGGCTCCCTTCCTGCTCCACATTCGATTCCCGTTTCTCTTGGTTTTTATTATCTCAAAACAGTGAAAAGCGATCTTACTCACTCTAATGGATTTGATGTGGAAACATGGATGGTTAAAGCACAAGAATACTTCGATTTTCATAATACTCCTAATGTTCATCATGTTAGAATCGTTTCTTTTCATTTGGAAGGTCCTGCTGCTACTTGTTATCAAGGCTTAGGATGAAAGGTCATTTTCTTTTTTGGTTGAATTTTCTTTTATCTTTACAACAACAATTTGCTCTTTCTTCTTATGAGAATTTTACATGGAAATCTTTCAAAATTAACTCAACAATCATCTGTTTTGAGTTATCAGACCTCTTTTGAGAATCTTTCTTTTAAAGTTCTCAATCTATTAGAGTCTATCCTTGTTAGTTATTTCATTTTCTGGACTCAAACAAGAATTACAATGAGAACTTTTACTTGCTTGACCTATTTTCCTTTTGGATGCAATGGAACTCGCTAGACGACATAAATTTAAAATTCAAGATTTCTTTTCTACCCATCCTCACTTTGGCGAAAACCAAATCCTTTTTATCCACCCACCAAGATTACACCTCTTGCCTCCCTACCCTCATCCAGCCTCAACCCCACTCACTCGGCCCAACTTCCTCTCGCCATTGATAAAACACCTAACCTCCCAATTTGCAAACTCTCGCATGCTGAACTTCATATAGACTTGAAAAAGGCCTTTGTTTTAATTGTGATGCAAAATTTGGACTCCAACATCGCTGTCCAAATAAATTTTACTTATCACTTGGCATTGACGACAGTGAATGTATAGAGTCCCCTCACTCTTCTCTTGATATTGATGATAATCTCGATCTTTCTTTTGAAATTATTTTAAATGCATTAGCAAGACAATTTAATCCTCATTGTTTTTCATTTAAACGCTCTATTAATAATTGAAAGGTCCACATTTTAATTGATAGAAAGTACCCATAATTTTATTCAAGTCAATCTTTTCCTTGAGCTTGCTCTTACTCCTCAACTCATCAACCAATTTAAAATTTCAATAGGCAATGGTAATTTTTACTTTTTTGTACTTTTAAATGGCCAAATGTCACAATTACTATGCAAAGCTATCAAATCACTTTAGATTTGTTCATTCTTTCCATCCTTGGGTTCGATGCATCCTAGGTATGCATTGGCTACCTACTGTTCTTAGGATCAATTTACATAATTATTGTGATTTTACTATGCAATTTAATTATCAAATCATCCACTTATACTTTCTGGTAAACCACAATTATCCTCCAATCCCATTTATTTCAACCAATTACATGCCCTCATTCTCATTTCCCAGCCATTCAGTTATTCACTATTCAATCCCATCACCTAAATATCGATCTTGCACTACCTGACTCTTTGGACAATTATCTAAATACTCTCCCTCAGCCTCTTCCTACTACCATTTCCACATTATCTTATAAATTTCAACACTTATTCAACCACCGCAAGGGTTACCTACATCATGTACCATCGACCATCATATTCATCTTCCTTCTTTATCCATGCATGTTAACATTCATCCTTATCATTATCCACATTTTCAAAATGATGCGATCGAGTAATTAGTTTCCGAAATGTTACAATCTGGCATTATTTTTCATAATCATGGTCCTTTCTTGAGCCTCATCCTTCTTGTTAAGAAAAGATATAGCACATGATATTTTTTTGTTGATCGTGCCCTAAATGCCCTTACTATTTGATGTAGGCAAAGGGGGAGGTGGAGCCTTGATTTTTTTGTTGATCGTGCCCTAAATGCCCTTTCCATTCAGTTTTCCATAGATGAAAATCTTTCTTTTATGGTAGAGAACTTCTCCATGCTGGTTTTGAATTGCTCCACCTCGTCGTCCAATGCTTCCATCTTTTTTACTGCAATTAATTGGATCTTGGCTCCAATTGCAAAAACAATGAAAACATCTTATTTTTTCGCCCAAGAAAGAGCTCTGATACCAATTTGATACGAAGTAGATGCAATTTCTTCGAAATCAGTGAACGACAATATGAAATTAGGAAGAAAAACACATCAAAACTATTTTTTTACAAGATATATAAAAGAAGATAGCCAGATACAGTTGGATCTTCAATTTGAGAGGAAGATCCGGCTCTCCCAAATCCCTAGCCATCAGCTAGAGCCCACTCAACCTAAGCAAAAATAATTCCAGCAAAATCAAGCATAAAACTGAATTCTAGGGTAAACAACTTATTTAAAGCTTACAAAACATAGCAAATTCCAAAACATCCCTCCCCTAATTCTTTCCCAAATCAACCTAAATCTACCCTCTTTATTTAGGAAACATCTCATAATTAATCTCCTCCAAATCATGCCTCAAATCAGCCCTCTTCAAGTAGGAAGCATCTCCTAATTAATCTCCTTCAAATCAATCCTTTTTAATTAGGAAACATTTCATAATTAATCTCCTCCAAATTAGCCCCCTTTCCTTTTTTTTTTTACGTTATGATTGATCATAGTGAGCCCCCTTTCCTTATAAATTTTCCTCTCACATTCGAATTCAAATAGGAAATCTTTTCTTAATTAATTCCTCTCCTATCATAATAAATTATTGCTTTGCTGGGCCCACAAAGGGGTGGGGGGGCAAAATCAAAATCTCCATGAATTTTGTTCAAGGTTCTGCCCCCCCCCCCCCCCCCCCCCCCCCCCCCCCCCCCCCCCACCCCACCCCCCCCCCCCACCCCCCCACCTGCTAGGCCGGCCTAACCAACCTCCCTTGGCCTGCGGCCATAACAGAATAAATCAAAAGATTTTTTTTGGGGAAATAATCTAATCATAGGATTAAATTTTTTTCTACTCATTTGCATGCATCATCTTATTACTAATGTCTTTAAAAAAATTAGGTTAATGCTAGGGCGTCCCTTGGAAGCGACGTACTATATGGCCTAAATACAGCGAC